ATTTTCGTATATTTACACTTTAATATTAAGATAAAATAAAGGTGAAATTGATATTTTCAATCTTTGTTTTCCTTAACAATTGAGCAATTTTTTCCACTTCTTTTCAAGGAAAAAGTTTTGGCAAAAACTTTCATTATATTGAACTTAGAAGATTTTTTTAACAAAAATTTTCTAATATTAATTTCTTACTGAATATAAAAAAAGTTTTATAATGCCAACAAAACTTCTAAAATATTTTATTATAAAATTCACTAACATATTATACAGAACTTTTCAATCATATTTTCGATAAAAATTTCTCTGGTAAATTTAGTCTCTCACCAAATAAACTCTAAACTTGTGTAATAGTAAAAATAATTTATTGTTAACGGTTTATTGACAATAAATCTTAATTTTTTTGAACATGACAATAAATCCTTTTTTTTTTTTCGAGCAGGTTACAATTTTTGAGAGGAAAGATTCAAATTTCAATCTTAAAATTGAGGGATATATCTTATAATCAAACGTATATTTATTATAAATATTAATTTAGAATGTAGAATGTGTTGTGGAGGTAATTTTAATGGTTGTCTTTTACTTGACAGAACAAGTGCCACTAGATAATTTCAGAACTTAATGCGCTGCGCTTCTACACCCAGAAAAAAAGGAACCAACCTTTGACTTGAATTTTAAATGGGATAAACGGAATATTTACTTATACGGCTCATAAATTGAGTTAGGTGGGTTTAATTTTTTAGAAAATTAAAATTAATTAATTATTTAGTAAAATAAATTTATCGAATTACTATTAATTCTAATAATCTAATCAACATTAACAAATTTATAATATTTAACTTTATTTATATTTAAAAGTTAAAATTAAAAGTATGATTAATTAAAATTTAAAATTTTAAAACATTAATTAATTTTAATCAAGTCATCTCGAATTAACTAGAGCTGAATTTAGACAATTTTAATTTAACTCCTATCAAATTCTAAATTAATATCTTCTTCTTTTTTTTTTTTTCGTTTGGACCACTCAGTATTCTGAAGTTCATTGGACCACCGAGTAATTTGGATTCGAGTCGAACAGGATCCAATGAGTGGCAAAACTCTCTCTCACGAGTTTTAATGAAACTCGATCTCTGGTTAAACTAAAAGAATCTCCTATCAACTCATTCACCCACTCGTGAGTTCTAAATTAATATCTTAAACTCATGATTCTATTTATAATAGATAAGTTGAGTTGAGTATTTAGATTGAGTTCGATTTTATCAAGTCTATTAGGGGGAATGCCTACATGTTGAAACATAAGAGGGCAGTGTTAGTTTTTGAGTAAATTCCATGTGACATCCAATCCATGAAGAAGCCAACAAATTAATAAACCGCAACCAAAGTGAAAAAAAAAATATATAGTGACCATATTTACCTACCTAGAAGAACATTTGAGAGTGATTGTAACCTGCCCTAAGAAGTTGACCAAAACTAAAGATT